ACTTTAGGTGTTGCCCGTCCAGTTGAAGACTGCCGGGGGTTTGTTGGTAATCCCCCTTAGTGTGCGGGGAGGCAGTTAAACGTCTGGGGCCCCTGACACTTTTGTTGGTCTCTTAAACGTGCTAGGAACCCCTGTTTTCATTGGGGGGAGGGGCATCGTTGCCAAGTTTTTGCTTTCGGTGGGTGATTTTGTGTGCAAGTTCGGTACTAGTCCCTCTAGGATTTTCCAGGGTATAAAAATCATGTTCTCTCCCCCCTGCGTCCCAGGGAATACGGTTTGGGAAACCTCAAGCGCTCCCAAAAATTAGGTGTTTTATCCCCGTTATGCGCGCCGTGAATTTCTTTTACTTTTTTAGGTCGGAAATTTCCCTGCCTTGAAAGGTGCGTTAGTGTGCAGAATATTCCAGCCTGATAGAAAAGGGGCCCTAAAAGAGGTCAAGGGGCTTGGCCCCCTAGTTTTAAAGGTTCTCATTATCCATCCTGTCATTTTTTAGCAGATGCGATTGAAAAATGTTAGGCCTTGGGGTGAATCCTCCAAAATGATCACCCCCGGGTCTTTGACGTTGGTGTTTCGCTCTATTTGTGGCCAGAATTTTTTTTTGTACTTGATGAAGATTTAATTTCCTCATTTTACCATATTAAAATTGAAATTTTTTCATCGTTTGAACTTCTTTTTGTTTTCTGCAGCCCCTGAAAGATTTGGTTTGATGTCTGCCTGGGGCTTTGCAGTGCTCAAGGAAGCACTGTTGCAGTTCGGGTGTATCTGCAAAGGAAAACGGTTTTCGTGGCTGACATCCTTGTCTATGCCCGGGTTAAGGGAGGAGCAAGATGGGACGGTACTGTGCCTTGTGGAACAGAGCTTTTTACCGTAGCTGCCTCGGGGCTTTACTCGTTGGACTACTTCTGTTTTCTGTTAGTGGGAATTTAGATCCCTCGACCGACTTTTCTGTTATCCTTTAGCAGCATTTTGTGCGTTTACGCCTGGTCACACTTTTTCGAGGCTTTTGCAAAGTCTTATTATTACATCTGCATTCTTTTGCTTTTAGTGCTTTTTTGGGCCTTGTCTATGGCCCAAAAGTTGAGCGACAGGAGCGACCCCTTCTAAAAACCCCTGTTTCCCTGGGTTTTTGTAACGGGTGGGTTTCTGATGCGTGTTATCTTGCTTCGTAGGACCCTTCAAAGATTTTTATGATATGGGGTGTTAGGATGGGCTGTAGTTCTTTGCTGTTTTTTTACTGCCCCTTTGTGGAGTGGGGCTATGTCTGTTGTTTTTAGTAAATGTGGGAGACCCCGTTCCATGCTCCCCCTCCGGTGGAAAAGGGTCGTGATAGGGGCTTCTTGCAGTTCTTGATAACACAGAGTTCCAGATCTGGCCCTGGGGCAGAGTCTGGGGATGTCATTTATCGCCTGTTCGAAGTCTTTGGCGTCGGGTAAATCGGTAGGCCTTGTGTTAATCAAATTTTTTTGGCCTTCAAAAAAATTCATTTTGATCTTCAAACCCCCATCGGTTAGCGGTTGCTAAAAACTGAGTCATTTGGGATTTGGGAGTCACTCATTTCCCCTTTTTTTGTCATCTGTGTGGCCCCTTTGTTTAAGTAGGGGCCAAATGGACGTTGTTCTCGATTTGATTTGGCATAGGAAAGAAATACTTTGGGTTTCTTTCATTTCTTTATGGCTTTTAGTTCTTCCCGCGATTCTGACTCCTAAAGGATTCTTTTGCTTAAGTTCGTGCTTGCTATTTCTCTGCCTGTCTCCCTACGATTTCGATATATTGACCTCTTTTGCCCTCTGTTATTTTTTCCGTCGCCTGTAAAGGGAGCGCCGTCTCTTTCTGTTTTCATCTATCCTTTTTTCTTAGGGAATAAGCCTTGTGCTCATGGTGCTCCGAGTTAAATTTTTCTAGGTAAGTTGGGGGGCTGTGTTGCTTGTATATCTTCCCGTTATATCGGTTAGGACTTGGGTTTATTTGGGCCCACTTTATGTTTTTTTTATTGAAGTTTAATTTTGTGAATGCTCCCTCGTGACTAATCTCATTATGTCGGTCTGGGGCTCCGCGCATACATGACTGAACCTCAATTATGTTGTGATCTGAGTATATTGTTTTTGATATGGTGATATTTCTTATCAGATCATCATTGTTAGTGAAGATGAGGTCTAGTGTATTCTCCAGTCTAGTAGGCTCTATTATTTGCTGGTTTAAATTGAATTTTGTGCAGAGATTTAAAAGCTCGCGTGAGTGTGAGTTTTCATCAGAGCTGCCTCCTGGTGTTATTATTGCAACAATATTATTTGCTATATTCCTCCATTTTAGGTGCCTTAAGTTGAAATCCCCCAGAGCAAGATGTTGGGTGCAGGAGCTGGAAGGTTTTCCAGACAGTGGTCAATTTTTAACAGCTGTTCCTGGGATTGCTGGGATGTTGCATCCGGAGGCTTGTAGACTATCACAATGACTAGGTTTTGGTTCTCGACCTTTACTGCTAAAACTTCCACTACATCATTTGAGGCATTTAGCAGTTCTGTGCAAACAAGTGACTCTGCAATGTACAGGCCAACCCCCCCCTTTTGCCTGTTCACTCTGTCACATCTGTATAGGTTGTAACCTGGGATCCATATTTCGTTGTCCAAGTGATCCTTTATGTGGGTCTCAGTGAAAGCCGCGAACATTGCCTTTGCCTCTGCAAGCAGTCCACGGATGAAAGGTATTTTGTTGTTTGTTGCTGGCTTTAGACCCTGTATATTTGCAAAGAAGAATGTTATTGGACTGGTGGTATTGTTGGTACTGGGGGGGGATTTTTTTTCCGGCATTAGTATCTGTATCTGTTGGAGTTCATTACCTTTGCAACTTGCCATGATTGTGACCGGATCTACCTGGAGTTCATTACCTTTGCAACTTGCCATGATTGTGACCGGATCTACCTGGAGTTCATTACCTTTGCAACTTGCCATGATTGTGACCGGATCTACCTGGAGTTCATTACCTTTCCAACTTGCCGTGATTGTGACCGGATCTACCTGAAGTTCATTACATTTGTAACTAGCTCAGCTATCATAACTTTGGGGTCCAGTCCCTGGACCCATTATGTACCTGGAGTTTACCTGGAGAGAGTTCCGGGGGTCAACGCCCCCGCGGCCCGGTCTGAGACCAGGCCTCCTGGTGGATCAGAGCCTGATCAACCAGGCTGTTGCTGCTGGCTGCACGCAAACCAACATACGAGCCACAGCCCGGCTGATCCGGAACTGACTTTAGGTGCTTGTCCAGTGCCAGCTTGAAGACTGCCAGGGGTCTGTTGGTAATCCCCCTTATGTGTGCTGGGAGGCAGTTGAACAGTCTCGGGCCCCTGACACTTATTGTATGGTCTCTTAACGTGCTAGTGACACCCCTGCTTTTCATTGGGGGGATGGTGCATCGTCTGCCAAGTCTTTTGCTTTCGTAGTGGGTGATTTTCGTGTGCAAGTTCGGTACTAGTCCCTCTAGGATTTTCCAGGTGTATATAATCATGTATCTCTCCCTCCTGCGTTCCAGGGAATACAGGTTTAGGAACCTCAAGCGCTCCCAATAATTGAGGTGTTTTATCTCCGTTATGCGCGCCGTGAAAGTTCTCTGTACATTTTCTAGGTCGGCAATTTCACCTGCCTTGAAAGGTGCTGTTAGTGTGCAGCAATATTCCAGCCTAGATAGAACAAGTGACCTGAAGAGTGTCATCATGGGCTTGGCCTCCCTAGTTTTGAAGGTTCTCATTATCCATCCTGTCATTTTTCTAGCAGATGCGATTGATACAATGTTATGGTCCTTGAAGGTGAGATCCTCCGACATGATCACTCCCAGGTCTTTGACGTTGGTGTTTCGCTCTATTTTGTGGCCAGAATTTGTTTTGTACTCTGATGAAGATTTAATTTCCTCATGTTTACCATATCTGAGTAATTGAAATTTCTTGTAACCTTTTGACTACCACCTACAGGATGGGTATGGTGTGACTACCACCCACAGGATGGGTATGGGGTGACTACCACCCACAGGATGGGTATGGGGTGACTACCACCCACAGGATGGGTATGGTGTGACTACCACCCACAGGATGGGTATGGGGTGACTACCGCCCACAGGATGGGTATGGTGTGACTACCGCCCACAGGATGGGTATGGTGTGACTACCACCCACAGGATGGGTATGGGGTGACTACCACCTACAGGATGGGTATGGTGTGACTACCACCCACAGGATGGGTATGGGGTGACTACCGCCCACAGGATGGGTATGGTGTGACTACCGCCCACAGGATGGGTATGGGGTGACTACCGCCCACAGCATGGGTATGGTGTGACTACCACCCATAGGATGGGTATGGGGTGACTACCGCCCACAGGATGGGTATGGTGTGACTACCGCCCACAGGATGGGTATGGTGTGACTACCGCCCACAGGATGGGTATGGGGTGCATAATAAAGATATTAAACTAACTAAACTCTGTAGCCACTTAGTCTAGGTAATTTACACACATTACTAGGTGTGATAATTGTGTACTTGTACCCAAATAAGCTAAATAAAGAAGTTAAGGGAACTCTCATCCCCCCGGTCCCTTTAGAGATCCAGGGATCGATCCCCGGTACGCGTACAAACGTTAGGACGTGTTTCCTTAAGACACCTGCTGTCCATGTTCACCCATCAGTAAAATAGGTACCTGGGAGTTAGTGGACTGGTGTGGGTCGCATCCTGGGACGAAATTGACCTAATTTACCGGAAATACTCAGCATAACAAGTGGCTTTCTATATAGTAGTATGTATACCTTGTACATGTAGTAGAGATAAAGATTATTATTATTAATTATTATTATTATTAATAATTATTATCAAGAATTATTGCTATTAATAATAATAATAATAATAATAATAATAATAACAATAACAATAATAATAATAATAATAATAATAATTATTATTATTATTATTATTATTATTATTATTATTATTATTATTATTATTATTATTATTACTATCAAGGTGAACACGTGGGTGAGAGCTCGCGCGCCGGCACGGGTGTCAACAAAGGAGGTAACTGACTGTTACTCACTTAACATTTTTTTTCTATAATATTTCCAGTTAATGTTAGTGACGTTAATTTTTATTATATTCAGGGACCCATCAAGGGACGTGCCTTGATGCCTTCCAGGCGTTTTTGATCCAAGGAATTGGATTTATAATTTTTTCTTCCTTGGGGAGGTTGAACTTGGTTACCTTCTTTTATTCCACATTATTAACCTTTACGGGTTTAGTGCTTCACCCCCTAATTAAAATAAATTATCCTTAAGGGTCTCCTCCCCCTTTATGGAAGGTGCCTTGAGTCTAGTAAGGTGATTTTGATCCAAGGAATTGGATCCGTCCTCCAGTTCCTTGGATCAATGTTGCTGGATGACCCTTTTTGGTTTATCACTTAAGTTGATCATATTATTATTGGGTTGAACCTGGTTACTTCCCGCTCCTCCTGGAGCTGGATAAACCCATGCGGGTTTATTGCAAGTTCTCCCCCAGGGTGCAACCCACAACGGTACTAAATCATGGATATATATAAAACATGGATATCTATTAAATAATAGTATTTATAAGACATGGGTATCTATTAGACAGTGGTTTCTATAAGACATTGGTATCTATTAGTGGTATCTATAAGACAGGTATCTATTAGTGGTGTCTGTAAGACATGGGTATCTGTTAGACAGTGGTATCTATAATATATGGGTATAATAATAATAATAATAATAATAATAATAATAATAATAATAATAATAATAATAATAATAATAATAGTCTTTATTTCTACCTGACATCAGTGACATACTATGCAGAGCATTTCGGGCAGATTAGGTCAGTTTTGTTCCAGGATGCGACCCACACCGGTCTACTAACACCCAGGTACCTATTTTACTGATGGGGGAACATAGACATCCGGTGTCAAGAAACATACCCAATGTTTCTACCTTTGCCAGGAATCGAACCTGGACCCTCGCCATGTGAAGCGAGAGCTTTACCCACCAGGCCACAGAGGTATCTGTAAGACATGGGTATCTGTTAGACAGTGGTTTGTATAAGATATAGGTATCTGGTAGATGGATATGAAAGATGAGGCGAGTCATAGAATTGATGAGGGAAAAAATGTGAGTGGTGCACTGGGGAGTCTGTGGAGACAACTTAATTCATGGAAGCAAAGGAGGAATATATGAGAGTATAGTTATACCAATGCTCTTATATGGGTGTGAAACATCTGTGATGAATGTTACAACAAGGAGAAGGCTGGAGGCAGTGAAGATATGTCTGAGGGCAATGTGTGGTGTGAATATTATACAGAGAATCTGTAGTTTGGAAATAGGAGGAGGTGCAGAATTACCAAAACTATTATCCAGAGGGTTGAGGAAGGGTTGTTGAGGTGGTTTGGACATGTAGAGAGGGTGGATTGAAATAGAATGACTTCGAGAAAATATAAATCTGTAGTAGAGGGAAGGTGGGGTAGGGGTCAGCCTAGGAAAGGTTGGAGGGAGAGGGTCAAGGAGATTTTGTGTGCAAGGGGCTTGGACTTCCATCAAGTGTGCGTGAGCATGTTAGATAGGAGCAAATGGAGGCAAATAATTTTTATGACTTGATGTGCTGTTGGAGTGTGAGCAAAGTAATATTTATGAAGGGATTCAGGGAAACCGTCAGGCTGTCCTTGAGTCCTGGAAATGGGAAGTACAGTGTCTGCACTCTGAAGGAGGGGTTTTAATGTTGCAGTTTTATAATTGTAGTGTAAGCGCACCTCTGGCAAGATAATGATGGAGTAAATGATGAAAGTTTTTCTTTTCCAGGCCATCCTACCTTGGTGGGAGACAGCTGATGTGTTAATAAAATAAAAAAAAATCTATTAGACATAGGTATCTATTAGTAGTACATATCTACAAGACGTAGGTATCTATTAGACAGTGGTATCTATAAGACATAGGTATCTATCAGTGGTGTCTATAAGACTTGGGTATCTGTTAGACAGTGGTATCTATGAGTTGTACTAAAGAATTGTAGCTGTGCTCCAGTTCCCTGAATTAAGCATGAATGCCTTCCATTACCCCCCATCCCCCCACCCCGACACAGGCGCTGTAAATTCCTACAGGTTTAGTACTTCTCCGTGATAATAATATAAGAGATGTAAATCTCTAAGATAAATTGTTTTTATAAGACGTGAGTACAACTGCCATGGGACTGGGGATCACTCCCCAGCATAGGTGGAAATGTTGGGCATATTTCCTTACACCCATCGTCCCTTGTTCACTTAGCAGTAAGTAGATACCTGGGTGCTAGTTGATTGGTGAGTCTCATCCATCCATCCTTCTGTCAGTCTGTTTATATCTGTCTATTTATCTATCCATCTATGTTTGTTGTTTCATGAAGCACTAAGCCCTGGTAGGTCATTAGGTAAGAAATTTTATTCAGGTACAGGTACACATCAGCAGTCACATACATTATCATACATAGCAACATGTGTGTAGATTATCAAGGATAACCCAGAAAAGTCAAAGTGATTTATTTTCATTGGGGTCCTTGATTTCCATCTGTTACTTAACTATGGCTAAATCTCTGACCAATCAGGCCATAGGAGATCACCACATATATACTGCACTTTTTTTTTTTTTAACACATTAGCCATTTCCCTCCAAGGCAGGGTGACCTGAATAAGAAGAAACATTTATCATCATTCACTTCATCACTGACTTGCCAGAGGCATGCCTATTCTATATTTAGTGTGATATTTTGGAATCTGTCTGTTCCTAAAATTCTCTATATTTTTTTTTTTCAGAAATATCATGTGGTCTAAATACTGTTTTGCCTTTACCAACTTGTATACTGTATGTACTGAGCTTTATGGAAATAAACTTGTAATTGTCAGTGTCAAATGAATTTTGTGCAGTTTGTAGCATTAGAAATATTGTTTATGTATCAGTGCTGTTTGGATTGTGCATTTTTTGTTTTACATTTCCAGCAAAAGATGTGGTAGTAGGAGAAATAACATTTTCACATAGCCTTACCTTGGAGCCTTACTTTATTTACTTCTCTGAGGCTCTGGGTCCTCACATTTGTATCTGAAGGAGGATCCTATTTATACTCTACATATATTAGTAATTAAAGCAATCATTTCAGTATGGGGACTAGTGATGCATGGAGCTACCTGGCCTCACTAGGAGTCAAGCATCGAACCTGGGATGATCCTCTCTTTGCAGAAGGTCTCCGTGTTTGCTGCCCTCTTAGGAAAATACCATGCATTGACCTGGATGATGAAGACTTTCTACACTCTAGGTAATATTAATAAAATTGTATGGGGATTCAGGAAAACCTGTCTGCTAGACTTGATTCCTGGAGTTGGGAAGTACAGTGCTTGCTGTTTTCTGGATCACTCTGCCTTGGCAGGAGATTAAGTAAGTACGAAAGATTATTCAGGTACACACAAATACAGTTACATAGATTATCATACATAGCAGCATATGTGTAGAGAACCTAGGATAACCCAAAAAAGCCAGTGACTTATTTCCATTGGCATCCTTTTAATACCTTATTTTTATACTGTAAAGGAGATAATATCTTATTATTATACTATTATACTATAAAGTCATAATAAGAATAATAGATTTTTTTTAACACTGGCCATCTCCCACTATGGTAGGGTGACCCAAAAAAGAAACTTGCATCGTCATTCACACTATCACTGTCTTGCTAGAGGCTTGCAGATATGAGAGTTTATATCCCAAATATCCCAAACCCCCTCCTTTAGAGTGCAGGCACTGTAATTCTCACCTCTAGGACTTGAGTCTGGTTAACTGGTTTCCATGAATCCCTTTGCAAAATAATACATTGCTCACTCTCCAACAGCTCATCAAGTCCCAAAAACCATTTGTTTCCACTCCTATCTAACATGCTCACACATCTTAAACCCCTCCCTTTATAACTTACAGTTGTTAATTTTTATTGTAACTAATCCATGTGTATATTCATTTGTTAGCTCCAGTCATGTCTGAAATATGACATGATTATTTATGCATGTATGAAGTGTTGTTAGGAGGATGATGTGAAGGAGGTTTTGAGAATTATGGGTCTTGAGTATCCAGCAAGCATTCCCTGTCTATGTGAACCTAGTGGTAAATAAGTACCTGGATATTAGTCAACTTTTGTGACTCATATCCTTGGGGCACCATTGATGTATACAGGAGGGCCCCACTTTACTGCCTTTCTCTAATGCAGTGGTTTTCAATTATACCCATTCTTCATTTATTCAGTCTACCTACAAACAAATATATACAGCCTCTCTTCACTCAACAACGGAGTTCCGTTCCTAAGACCATGTCGGTAAATGAATTCGTCGCTAAGTGAGGAGCATACTATAATGGTAGTGGGTTTGTGTCAACCATCTTTGATATTATTTTAATGTCACCTTTGCACCATTTATAACATTTCTGATATATTTTTAAATGTTTATAGTGTACTGTATATTGTAATAAACAGAATAGAGGAAATCATCTCTCATATACATTATTTAGGTATGAATACTGGTCAGAGGGCCCATCATAAGTTTGAGTCATCGGTAAACAAGTATATGTATGTCACTAAGTGAGGAGAGGCTGTATTCACTCACTCTAAGCTAAGAATGAAAATATATGAAGGGAAGTACACATAATTTGTGTGGTGCATATTAAATTTTTAGGCCTAGCTTTATTTCTCACTTTATATATGATAGTATAAACATGTTAACAGGCTTTTATATGCATTTGAAAGTGAAAAAAAGACTGTTTCACTTTACAGTGATTTTTGTTTTACATCAGTAGCCCAGAGCCTCACCTGCTGTATAAGAGGGGCCTTCCTGTATATTACATGTGGCCTGGACTTAAAAAATAGCATATGTGAAATGGCAGTTGTTAGTTTGTAAATATAAAATCTTTAAATACATGTATGTCTTTGAACTTCTAATTGAAATATGTAAATTATTCTGGTGACTGTGAAATGTAGTTTTACATTTATGTCATATAATGTAGAAATTAATTTTTTATAGAAACTTCAGTACAAGCTCTAATAAAGCTCATCTCTGTATTGTGAAATTTTGTAAATGCAATTGAAAAAGTACAACCAAAATTGAACAGTGTTTGGAAATACATATCAAGTGTAGTCAAAGATAAGATAAAACCAATATTGCAAACTAGAAATACCGCAGGAAATAGCAAACAAGAGGACTCCAATAGCAATAGTGAGGATAAATTACCAAAAACAACTGGTGGGAGCTCCATTGTTGGTGCTAGGGAGGATAGGAATAAGACAGGGAAACATGCACCAACAGGGAATACAGTCACAGAAACCCAAGGCAAACGGAAACCAAGCCTGTGCACATACTATGCACTTGGTATCTGCTGGCATGGGAAATCTGGAAAAACAGATGGGACATGCAACTATGACCACCCTAGAAAATGTCATGTCCATATGACAACAGGAAAATGCAAACTCCCTTCCTGTAAGCTTTTTCACCCTGAAATGTGTACCTCTTCAGTACAGGAAAGACTGTGCTATAACTTAAATTGCCAGGCATACCATCTAAAGGGGACAAAAAGATACAAAACATCCAGGCCATGGGAAAACCTGGGTAGCCACAGCCACTCAAGAGGGAGAGGTTTTTTAGTGCCAGGAAGGAAAAAAAACTGGCAGGAAATGGCAGAAATCGTACACCAAATCCAGTCATTCCTGGAGTGGAACCACAGTCGATGGCCTCCACTCCAAACCAACAGATACAGATACTAATGCCGGAAAAAAAAATCCCCCCCCAGTACCAACAATACCACCAGTCCGATAACATTCTTCTTTGCAAATATACAGGGTCTAAAGCCAGCAACAAACAACAAAATACCTTTCATCCGTGGACTGCTTGCAGAGGCAAAGGCAATGTTCGCGGCTTTCACTGAGACCCACATAAAGGATCACTTGGACAACGAAATATGGATCCCAGGTTACAACCTATACAGATGTGACAGAGTGAACAGGCAAAAGGGGGGGGTGTGGCCTGTACATTGCAGAGTCACTTGTTTGCACAGAACTGCTTAATGCCTCAAATGATGTAGTGGAAGTTTTAGCAGTAAAGGTCGAGAACCAAAACCTAGTCATTGTGGTAGTCTACAAGCCTCCGGATGCAACTTCCCAGCAATTCCAGGAACAGCTGTTAAAAATTGACCACTGTCTGGAAAATCTTCCAGCTCCTGCACCCAACATCTTGCTCCTGGGGGATTTCAACTTAAGGCACCTAAAATGGAGGAATATAGCAAATAATATTGTTGCAGAAATAACACCAGGAGGCAGCTCTGATGAAAACTCACACTCACACGAGCTTTTAAATCTCTGCACAAAATTCAATTTAAACCAGCAATAATAGAGCCTACTAGACTGGAGAATACACTAGACCTCATATTCACTAACAATGATGATCTGATAAGAAATGTCACCATATCAAAAACAATATACTCAGATCACAACATAATTGAGGTTCAGACATGTATGCGTGGAGCCCCAGACCGACAAAATGAGACTAGTCACGAGGGAGCATTCACCAAATTCAACTTCAATAACAAAAACATAAAGTGGGACCAAGTAAACCAAGTCCTAACCGATATAAGCTGGGAAGATATACTAAGCAACACAGACCCAAACTTATGCCTAGAACAGATTAACTCGGTGGCACTCGATGTATGCACAAGGCTTATTCCTCTAAGAAAAAGGAGGAGTAGATGTAAAATAGAAAGAGACAGGCGCTCCCTTTACAGGCGACGGAAAAGAATAACAGAGCGGCTAAAAGAGGTCAATATATCTGAAATGCGCAGGGAGACACTGGTCAGAGAAATAGCAAGCATCGAACTTAAGCTAAAAGAATCCTTTAGGAGTCAGGAATCGCGGGAAGAACTAAAAGCCATAAATGAAATCGAAAGAAACCCAAAGTATTTCTTCTCCTATGCCAAATCAAAATCGAGAACAACGTCCAGTATTGGGCCCCTACTTAAACAAGATGGGTCCTACACAGATGACAGCAAGGAAATGAGTGAGCTACTCAAGTCCCAATATGACTCAGTTTTTAGCAAGCCGCTAACCAGACTGAGAGTCGAAGATCAAAATGAATTTTTTATGAGAGAGCCACAAAATTTGATTAACACAAGCCTATCCGATGTTATCCTGACGCCAAATGACTTCGAAACAGGCGATAAATGACATGCCCATGCACTCTGCCCCAGGGCCAGACTCATGGAACTCTGTGTTCATCAAGAACTGCAAGAAGCCCCTATCACGAGCCTTTTCCATCCTATGGAGAGGGAGCATGGACACGGGGGTCGTCCCACAGTTACTAAAAACAACAGACATAGCCCCACTCCACAAAGGGGGCAGTAAAGCAACAGCAAAGAACTACAGACCAATAGCACTAACATCCCATATCATAAAAATCTTTGAAAGGGTCCTAAGAAGCAAGATCACCACGCATCTAGAAACCCATCAGTTACACAACCCAGGGCAACATGGGTTTAGAACAGGTCGCTCCTGTCTGTCTCAACTATTGGACCACTACGACAAGGTCCTAAATGCACTAGAAGACAAAAAGAATGCAGATGTAATATATACAGACTTTGCAAAAGCCTTCGACAAGTGTGACCATGGCGTAATAGCGCACAAAATGCGTGCTAAAGGAATAACAGGAAAAGTCGGTCGATGGATCTATAATTTCCTCACTAACAGAACACAGAGAGTAGTCGTCAACAGAGTAAAGTCCGAGGCAGCTACGGTGAAAAGCTCTGTTCCACAAGGCACAGTACTCGCTCCCATCTTGTTCCTCATCCTTATATCCGACATAGACAAGGATGTCAGCCACAGCACCGTGTCTTCCTTTGCAGATGACACCCGAATCTGCATGACAGTGTCTTCCATTGCAGACACTGCAAAGCTCCAGGCAGACATCAACCAAATCTTTCAGTGGGCTGCAGAAAACAATATGAAGTTCAACGATGAGAAATTTCAATTACTCAGATATGGTAAACATGAGGAAATTAAATCGTCATCAGAGTACAAAACAAATTCTGGCCACAAAATAGAGCGAAACACCAACGTCAAAGACCTGGGAGTGATCATGTCGGAGGATCTCACCTTCAAGGACCATAACATTGTATCAATCGCATCTGCTAGAAAAATGACAGGATGGATAATGAGAACCTTCAAAACTAGGGAGGCCAAGCACATGATGACACTCTTCAGGTCACTTGTTCTATCTAGGCTGGAATATTGCTGCACACTAACAGCACCTTTCAAGGCAGGTGAAATTGCCGACCTAGAAAATGTACAGAGAACTTTCACGGCGCGCATAACGGAGATAAAACACCTCAATTATTGGGAGCGCTTGAGGTTCCTAAACCTGTATTCCCTGGAACGCAGGAGGGAGAGATACATGATTATATACACCTGGAAAAATCCTAGAGGGACTAGTACCGAACTTGCACACGAAAATCACTCATTACGAAAGCAAAAGACTTGGCAGACGATGCACCATCCCCCCAATGAAAAGCAGGGGTGTCACTAGCACGTTAAGAGACCATACAATAAGTGTCAGGGGCCCGAGACTGTTCAACTGCCTCCCAGCACACATAAGGGGGATTACCAACAGACCCCTGGCAGTCTTCAAGCTGGCACTGGACAAGCACCTAAAGTCAGTTCCTGATCAGCCGGGCTGTAGCTCGTATGTTGGTTTGCGTGCAGCCAGCAGCAACAGCCTGGTTGATCAGGCTCTGATCCACCAGGAGGCCTGGTCTCAGACCGGGCCGCGGGGGCGTTGACCCCCGGAACTCTCTCCAGGTAAACTCCAGATAGTAAGAGCTATTCAATTTTGGATACACATTTTGAATTACAGTCACCCAGTCTTCAGTAAGAGGCTTACTCTGTCTCCTCAAACCAGGCTGGAGTACTCACCTAATTGTGGTTGCAGATGCAGACTCAGCTCCTGGTCCTGCCTCTTCACTGATCACTACTAGGTCCTCTCTCTCCCTGCTCCATGAGCTTTATCATAATTCAACTTAAAGCTATGTATGGTTCCTGCTTCTGCTACATCACTTGCTAGACTGTTCCACTTCCTGACAACTCTATGACTGAAGAAATACTTCCTAACATCCCTTTGACTCGTCTGAGTCTTCAACTTCAAGTTCTGACCCCTTGTTTCTGTGTCCCATCTCTGGAACATCCTGTCTGTGTCCACCTTATCTATTCCACACAGTATTTTGTATGTCGTTATCATGTCTCCCCTAACCCTCCTGTCCTCCAGTGTCATTAGGTCGATTTCATTTAACCTTTCTTTGTAGGACATTTCCCTTAGCTCTGGAACTAGCCTTGTTGCAAACCTTTGCAACAAGGACTGGAGTGCATAGTGACCTGTGTGTATGGACGGGTCATTATATAGATGAGCTCTACAAGAGCTTACTCTACATTATTAAATTGGGTATTTAAACATTTGAGATTAAGCATTAACCCCTTAATTGTCCTAACGTAGATCTATGTTCTCTCACCCAGCTCTCCAAATACAGTAGTATTTTGAATTTTTTTTAAATTAAAGAGGGCAATTTTCTGTGTGTAATAAGGCCAAAAAAAAAAATTTAGGGTCAATACTTACTGAGATATAAGACTGCGAAATTGGCACTGGATGCTCACCTGATGGCAACATGGAGCCCTGCCGCTTGCAGAAGTACTGTTGATGTACCTTTTTTTCTTGTTTTTATTTTTATATCATTTTTATGTTCTTATAATTACAATTTGTAGTAGTTTTTGTGATTTCATAGCCAATGTTTGTTCTGACACTAATATTAGGTACTGAAATAGTACCCAAATAGTCACAAACACACTGACAGGTAAACATTTTCACCTGCCTTGGTAATGTACTATTGTCTAGAAATATATTCTTAGTATTTATAGGTTCCAGCAATGTTTTAGACATGCTGGAGTATATATGAAACTCCTTAAAGTATGGTGCAAGACGAGTGTCACTCCACTGCTGACACTGCAGCATTGGAGTGACATCTGAAGATCTTGTACTGCCTTGACTTTTTTTGTTTTCACTGTTACACATAAACATATCTGTCTGTCTTTCTGTCTAGCTCTGTCTCTTTTTATCTGTCTTTCTGTCTTCCTGTCTGTCTGCTTGTCTCTCTTCTCAAGTACATTAAGCAGTCTGTAAGCCATTAATTTAGTCTACCCATAATGCCATGGCATGATGGTGGCTCTTGCACTGCAACTCATTATTGTAACTACAGAATCTCAATGTAAACTTTCAAAGAAATAAAAATTGTATTGTATTGTATTGTATTTCTGTCTCAGAGAGAGAGAGCTGCTCATGAACCAACGGGTATTACATATCGATGCAGAGTCGTCATGTCTGATTCCTGAACAAGAGAAAATGTGTATTACTTGCTAGTCATGCTTATTATGCCGTATATCTACAAGCACAGTATAGCACTTTGTCTGGATTTTTTGGGTTATGCTAGGTAATTTACACTATGAATAATAACTGTATTTATGTATACCTGTGAGACAGAGATAAACAGAGATAGAGACAGAGAAAGTGATAGACAGAGATAGAGACAGACAGACAGAGATAGAGTTTGGAAAGCGAGGTAGTGGAGGCAGGATCCATACATAGCTTTAAGCAGAGGTATGATAAAGCTCACGGTTCAGGGAGAGTGACCTAGTAGCGACCAGTGAAGAGGCGGGGCCAGGAGCTTGGACTTGGCCCCTGCAACCTCAACTAGGTGAGTACAGCCAAAGTCAATCAGCCACCCACCCACCCACCCAACAGCCAGCCAGCCAGCCAGCCACCCAGCCAGCCACCCAGCCACCCACCCAGCCAACCGGTCTGCTGAACTCGTACCTATTGCACATGTTCCCGAATTGTTTCTCTTTACTTAGGGCATAGGTTATAGGACATTCTGGCAGGTATCAAAATTGAAAGGATGTTGCACAAATGTTGCACATGGGTTATTATCGATGTTATTTCCTTGATCACTTGTGTCTACATCCATCTCAGAGCCACTAAACTCAGGGTCAACATCACTTTCCTCTTAAAAGGGGAGCATTAATACAACATGACATCAGTGAATCCCTGGTGTTTGCTGCGCTGTTTGCTCTAGCTGGCGTTCAGTTGAACTGGTGCTCTCACAAGGTACTAAGTGATCCCAGATTTTTTTAATACTGCACACACCAAGTGTTAAGACCCATTCTATACTGACCAGTTATCTCAGGCCAATCATGCCAAATTTGGAGGCAGGAAAAATGAAACATTGATCTACGTTTGGAGCACTAGTGGTAACAGTGAGATCTAGGTTTGGAGAGTTAAGGGGTTAAAACTTGTGCACATTTTTATTTCACAATTCAAGAGTATTTATTCATATAATTTTCCTATCTGTCACAGGATTGAAACAAAATGCAGTGTAACTGGGTGTAAGAAAACTTTCAGTACAGTGGCTGAGTATGCCAGCCATCAGCGCAGTGCTCACAACTATGTTTGCTCCACATGCAAGCAGTCGCTTCCTTCACACCACTTGCTAGATCTTCATCTTCTCGAGGTTCATGACACGCTATTTAAACTTATGGCAGAAAGACAGCCCATGGTGAGTAGAGCACGTAGGGTTCAATTTCTAATTTTTTTTTTCGTACCTGGGCACAATCACATTACCTTCTCTCCTCTCAGAGACCTGTACTTTCAGTACAGATGGACTATGACTTCTTGATTGCAATTGATGTTACATCAACTTGAGCTTTCCTTGTAGCTTGTAGGATCATCTGTTGCACTACTGCTTCTAGCTGATAGCCCCCTTCAGCTTTTTGGCACCTTGTCACCCGTGTGAGTTGAGTACACAGTATTTTGGGAATACAGTGAGCTCTTATACAGTCACTCTATATAGTGCAATTTTTCATAAATGTGAGTAGTAGGCCTAGCTAATTGCTTCATATGTAGGCCTTGAATTATTATCTTCATTGTTTCACTATACCTGACTTGTTTAATTTAATAATTTAATAATTCACGTTAAGTGCTAAACCCATATGGGTCATTCAGTGCAAAGCATGGTGGAGGCTTGATCCTCTGTCTGCTGAATGCAAGACACATTCTTCCTGTTTGTATTCACCTTTATGTCCCACCTGACTTGTTACTACTTGGATATCTGTACAGAGTCAGGTCTGGAAATAGATTGTTTGGAATGATGAATTTTGTGGGAAATCTGATGCCAAAATTAGTGTAATCAGTTGTTGGGACATGTCAGTAATGTGTACCAAAGGCAGAAAACAGTCCATCCAGGTTATAATTATATGTAACCCTTCAACAGGGATATCTTCAATGACCTCGGTGGAAACAAGTCACTTTGTCTGACTTTTTTGGATTATCCTCAGTAATTTACACTATGTATGATAATTGTACTACTTATGTATACCTGTGCCGAAATAAACTTATGTTCTTATACTGGCAAAGGGCTCTTCATCCAAGGAATTGGGGCTACTGTTGGAACAAATATCTTTACTTCCCTTTCTCAGGTGGTATATGATCCTTATGGGTTTGGTGCTTCCCCATGATTATTGTAATAATAATTCTTCATGGGGAAGTGGAACAGAATTCTTCCTCCATGAGCCATGCATGTCATAAGAGGTGACTAAAATGCCGGGACCAAGGGGCTAGTAACCTCTTCTCCTGTATATATTATAAATTTAAATAGAGAGACTTTTGTTTTTTCTTTTTTGGGCCACCCAGCCTTGGTGGGATATGGCCAGTTAGTTGAAATAATAATAATAAAAATAATAATATAATAATTAAAGCAGTAAAGAGTTTTTATGTGGATATTGAAGGCCAGGTTATGGGGATTATATTCCATTAAAAGTTGGCCTTAGACAGAGACTTAGTGATGTTGCCATGGTTGTTTAACATATTTACAGATAAGATGTAAAAGAAGTGAATTTTGGGTGTTGGGGAGAATTGAGGAATTAAAAAATACTGAATCTGATGCAAAGTGAGAGTTGTCACAGTTGCTATTTGCTGATGATGTCTTTTGGAAGATTTCTAAAGAGAAGCTGCAAAGGTTTATTGAGGAATTTTGAGGGCAGTGATAGACTGATCAGATTGTAGGGAAGGAATGCTCAGAAAGTCACTGGAATTGTGATGCGAGTGGACCTCAGGCAAGACAGCTATTGAATGAATGATGGCGAAAGTTTCCTCTTCTGGGTCACCCTACCTTGGTGGGTGGAAGTTGATGTGGTAAACAGTTGTGCACAACTTGGAAATATCCTTCAGATACAATATATAGATGGAGAAATGCCGAGATATCTAGCATATGTAGCTGTCATATTATGTAAGGATATAAAAAAGGTGTGAAGATGCTAAAAAGTGGCCCAAATAAGCTACAAAATGGCTGCCATAGCTAAAAATAATTAGTCGTGAAGAAAAGCTTATAGAATTAGCTATAAGATAAAGATAATAGATAAAGGTTTATTTCTTTGTACAGGGTACAATGTGTAATTAAAATTTTGGTTTGCTTAGTACAAAGAAAGTCACTATCATGCCGGGGCATTTTGGTCAAACTGATCCTAATAATATGTGTTCATTTGCTGTAGGACGAGAACAAGAAGACATAAATAACCACCTTTAAGATTGTAAAAGAAAACAAAAGTATTAAGGAAGACGTTCTAACCTTATCAACAGGAAGGTAAATGATAGGTTAAGGAAGGTTTGTCAGGAAAGTGGGCAAGTGTTTCCTGACATGGTCTTGGCTATATGATGACCTGCAGCTGTAGCTTTTGGTCATCTGACTGAGGCCTTCCACTAGCTTACCCCTCCACCCTTTTATAAATTATGGTTTTGATTACAGTGGAACCTCAGATTTCGAACGTATCACTTATCAAACTCTTCGAAAATCAAACGCTTTTTTCGAACCAACTTTGTCCCTATTATCGAACTCGCCCCTATTTTCGAACCGCCAGGTACCGGACCTGTCCGGCAGCCCGCTCTGTCCGCGTACCCACACAGGCACCGTGAGCCAGTCTGGTTTTGTTGATGCTTGAGTGAACACTAACCTGCGCTCTCATTCAAACATTTTACGATTATTTCATTGTGTTTAGTGCTTGTGGGACTGTGAAATGAGCTACCATGGGCCCAAAGAAACTTGCTAAAGAAAATGAGAAACACCATAGATGTGAAGAAGGAAATAATACAGAAGTAATGAGAGTGGTGTGAGACTTGTTGAGCTTGCCAGGATGTATGGGAAAAACAAGTCGACCATCGGTTCTATCCTGGCAAAGAAAGAAATCAGGGAAGCTAATGTTGCGTAAGGTGTTAATATGCTAACAAAAAAAGACCACACACAATCGATCAGGTTGAGAAGTTGTTGCTGGTGTGGATCAAGGATAAAGAGATGGCAGGTGATAGTGTTTCAGAGGACCATTATTTGCGAAAAAGGCAAGGAAGTTGCATGCCGATCTGGTACAGAAAACTCCTGGAACCAGTGCTGATAGTGAATTTAAGGTCAGCAGAGGCTGGTTTGACAGATTTAAGAAGCGTTAGTGGCATACACAATATTGCAAGGCATTGGTGAGGCAGCCAGTTTAGACAAACGGGCGGCTGAGAAGCTTGTACAGGAGTTTAAGGTTTACATAGACACTGAAAAATTAAAACCCCAACAAGTGTTCAGTTGTGACAAAACAGGCCTGTTTTGGAAGAAAATGCCAAAGAGGACCTACATTACTCAGGAGGAAAAGGCACTCCCAGGACACAAGCCTATGAAAAATAGGCTTACTCTTTTATTCTGTGCTAACACTAGTGGTGATTTTAAAGTGAAGCCTTTACTTGTGTATCATTCAGAAAATCCCAGAGTGTTTAAGAAAAACAATGCCATAAAGAACAAGTTATGTGTCTTGTGGAAAGCAAATAATAAGGCATGGGTCACAAGGCAAATTTTCAAAGAGTGGGTCCATGAAGTGTTTGGCCCCAGTGTGAGAAAATACCTCCTAGACAATAATTTGCCACTCAAGTGCCTCCTGTTAATGGACAATGCTCCTGCTCATCCTCCAAACTTATTAGACCTCTTGTCTAGGGACTTCAGTTTTATAACAGTGAAGTTCTTGCCTCCTAACACCACTCCTCTCCTCCAGCCCATGGACCAGCAGGTCATTTCTAACTTCAAAAAACTCTACACAAAAGCAATGTTTGAAAAGTGCTTTGAAGTGACCACAGACACTAAGTTGACCCTAAGAGAGTTCTGGAGGAATCACTTCAACATCTAAAACTCCATAAGCCTTATAGGTAAGGCTTGGGAGGGAGTGACTTCCAGGACTTTGAACTCTGCTTGGAGACAGTTGTGGCCAGATTGTGTCCAAAAGAGGGATTTTGAAGGGTTTGAGGCTGACCCTGACCCTGTCCCTTACCCAGCTGACCCTCTGCCTGTTGTGGACCCTATTGTGGCATAGGGGAACACCCTGGGGCTGGAGGTAAGTGGCGAGAGTGTGGAAAAGTTGGTGGAGGACCACAGGGAAGAGCCAACCACTGAAGATCTGGAAGAGCTTCATCTAGAACAGTATCAGACCACAGCTGAGGACCTTGCTTCAGAAGAGGAGGAAGACGGAGTGGATGAGGTGCCTTCTTCAAAGATTAAGGAGATTTGTACCAAGTGGAATGATGTCCAAATGTTTGTGCAGAAGTACCACCCTGAGCAAGCTGAAACAAGCCATTTTTGCAACAAGTTCATTGACAAAACCATGTCCCATTTTAGGGAAATTTTTAAAGAGGTGCCAGAAACAGAGGACTGTGGACAGTTATTTTGTGAGACAGGGGTCCAGTGACTCTCAAGTTGGTCCTAGTGGCATTAAAAGACAGAGAAGGGAAGTAACCCCAGAGAGAGCTTTGATACCTGAAGTCCTCATGGAGGGGGATTCTCCTTCCAAACACTAACCCCAACTCCCTCTCTCCTCCTCCCTATCTTCCAGATGCCATCACCAATCTTCAATAAAGGTAAGTAAAAATGTTATTTTATATGTTTATTTACATTATTAATACATAATTGAACACTATATTGTTTGTGTGCATGTAAAACTGTAATTAATCTCTATAAAATGTATTTTTTGTGAATATTTTTGGGTTTCTGGAATGGATTATTGTATTTCCATTGTTTCTTATGGGAAATACTGCTTCGCTTTTCAGACTTTTCAAATTTAGAACTAGCTCCTGGAATGGATTAAGTTCGATATTTGAGGTTCCACTGTATAACCTCTAGATTATGTCTTGGTTTTAGATTACTTCTAACCAGAACTCCTAAATCCTTTTCGCAATCAGTAGTATTAAGATCTACATTATTTAGTTTATATGTCGCATGGTTATTTTCTAAATGTTGGACAGTTAAATAACCATGCCACATATAAACTAAATAATGTAGATCTTAATACTACTGATTGCGAAAAGGATTTAGGAGCTCTGGTTAGCAGTAATCTAAAACCAAGACAACAGTGCATTAGTGTTCGCAATAAAGCTAACAGAATTCCTGGCTTCATATCTAGAAGTATAAATAATAGAAGTCCTCAGGTTGTTCTTCAACTCTGTATATCCTTGGTTAGGCCTCATTTAGACTATGCTGCTCAGTTCTGGTCACAGTATTACAGAATGGATATAAATGCCCTGGAAAACATACAGAGGAGGATGACAAAGATGATCCCATGTATCAGAAATCTCCCCTATGAGGATAGACTGAGGGCCCTGAATTAGCACTCTCTTGAAAGGCGTAGAATTAGGAGGGATATGATCAAGGTGTATAAATGGAAAACAGGAATAAATAAAGGGAATGTAAATAGTGTGCTGAAAATTTCCAGCCAAGACAAGACTCGCAGCAATGGTTTAAAGTTGGAAAAATTCAGATTCAGGAAGGATATAGGAAAGCACTGGTTTGGTAATAGAGTTGTGGATGAGTGGAACAAACTCCCGAGTACAGTTATTGAGGCTAAAACGTTGTGTAGTTTTAAAAATAGGTTAGATAAATACATGAGTGGGTGTGGGTGGGTGTGAGTTGGACCTGACTAGTTTGTGCTGATGGGTCTGGTGCCATGCTCCTTCCTTGAGTGGAGGTGACCAGACTGGGTGAGTCATTGGGCTAATCCGGGGGGGAGGGGGCATGGACCTGCTCCGCATGGGTCAGTAGGCCCATTGCAGTGTTCCTTCTTTCTTATGTTCTATGTATAGGTGTTGTGTCACTTTTTAATGTTTGTACAGACTGTTGCATCTTGGGTCAAGTATACCACAAACCAACATGTATAATATTTTTCAAATCTCTCAAATACCTCTTCAGAACCCTTACATGGTATTACATGGCATTTATAAGTAAGGGTAAACACAGATACGTATATGACCTGTCATATATCTGTGGTTTTTAGATTTAAAAAGATAAAAGATAAAGATTTTATTTCTTTGCTAAGGTTACAGTGTGTAATTACAATTTTGATTTGTTAATACAAAGAAAGCCACTGTCATGCTGGGGCATTTCAGGCAGACTTATCCTAGTACTTAAAAACTACTTGAGATCAATGTTATTTTCCTTTGGTTTGGAGATGAGAATATAGATTATGACACAAGATTTCTGTTTTAATGGTTTAACTGATAAGTTTAGTGAGTAAGTGTGAGAAAGTAAGGACTAATGATGACAAATAAGAGACAAGTGCAACACTTTGGTATCTTTAGTGTGGAGATATTTTGCCAGCCAGTGACTTTGATCAGTCCATTATGTAGAGTGATGGTGGAGACAGTAGAAGACACGAAGTAGTAGTAGTTTGAGGAGATCAGTCTCTCAGCTTTGATAAATTTGTTGCACACACTTGCACTGAACACCTACTTTCAAGGCTAAGGGACTGATCATTTCAAACTACTACTACATGTCTTTCACAGTCTTCGGTGGTATTCTTTGTATTGGCTTGATCAAGTCACTGTGTGGTGAACCTTCTCTACAGTAAAGATATGCAAGTGTTGCACATGTGTTTTATTCATCTAGTTATCATTTTTGTAAGCCATTAATATATAATGCAGGCTAATGGCATAGAGAAAAATTGAAGCTAAACCAATAAATTAAGTTTTATAAAGTGAGAGCAGTAGAATGACATGTTAAATATAACCAGTCTTTAATATTGTCCCTCGTGCAGTATCAGTGCTTCCTGGAAACATGCTCTGAGAAGTTTGGCAGTCCTACCGAGAGGAAGGCTCACTGTATAGACAATCACAAGTTCCCAGCAGACTTTCGCTTTGACGTGGCATGGAGGAAATTAGGAAATTGCAGAAAACTAGAGAAAATGAACCAAAGTGGAGCAGCTATGGAATGCGAAGAGACTGGTCTTGAGACTGTCACAGTGAAAGAAGAGTCAGCAATTGTAATCAATAAAAAGAACGGTGATGCCACTGTTGATAGAAAAAAAGTTGCATACAAAATTCCAAATTGTGTATCATTTGGAGTTGGAGTTCCGAGAGGTTTTATTCGAGGGAATAAAAGAAGAGGCCAAAGAAAGGGTGGGGTCACTCACTGGCACCAGAGGACATGTCCATCTAATTCCATCAAAACCAACATTGAAGAAGTTAGTATGAAAGATTTAGAAGCAGCATTATGTACTGAATCAGTAATTCCTTGATGAAGATTTTGTTTTATTTAAATAGCTGTTCATGTGAATTTTTAGTTGCTCTAAGATTACTATACAAGCCTTTGATTTAGATTTTTTATGTATTGTACAGTAAATCCTCAGTTTAACAGACTTCAGAAATACAGGACAAAATCTGCTGGGTCAGTCAGTTCAGAAAAAACAGACAAGGTCAGTTGGTTACAAAATTGTCCATTAGGTTATGATCGCAGCAAAATGGTCTCTTCTCTGTCCACCACGATTGTTATTACCTGCCACCCACTACCCTCCTGTTAGTTCATTAAATTGATGGGTTAACTTGATGTAATACCTCTTATTATTCTTAATTCAAAGATTACATAAATTATTTTTTTTTTTATTATCACACCGGCCGATTCCCACCAAGGCAGGGTGGCCCGAAAAAGAAAAACTTTCACCATCATTACTCCTACTTTCCAAGTGCTTATTATGCCGTAAAACTACAAGCACAGTAATAGCACTTTGTCTGTGATTTTTTTGTTATGCTGGTAAATATACACTATGAATAATAACTGTATTTATGTATACCTGTGAGAGCAGAGATAAACAGAGATTAGAGACAGAGAACAAAGTGATAGACAGAGCTAGAGACAGACAGACAGAGATAGATTTGGAAAGCGAGTAGTGGAGGGCAGGATCGCATTACATAGCTTTAAGCACAAGTATGATAAAGCTCACGGTTCAGGGAGAGTGACCTAGTAGACGACCCGTGAAGAGGCGGGCCAGGACTTGGACGTTTGGCCCCTGCAAACCTCACTATGGATGATGTCTACAGCCCAAAGTCAATCAGACCACCCAACTCCACCGCACCCAACAGCCAGCCAGCCAGCAAGCCACCCAGCCAGCCACCCAGCCACCCACACCAGCCAACCGGTTCTGCTGAAACTCGTACCTTATTGCACATGGTCCCGAATTGTTTCTCTTACTTAGGGCATAGGTTATAGGACATCCTGGCAGGTATCACAATTGAAGGATGTTGCACAAATGTTGCAACATGGGTTATTAATCGATGTCTTATTGACCTTGATCACTATGTGTCTACATCCATCTCAGAGCCACTAAAACTCAGGGTCAACATCACTTTCCTCTTAAAAGGGAGCATTAATACAACATGACATCAGTGAATCCCTGTTGTTTGCTGCGGCTATTGCTCTAGCTGGCGTTCAGTTTTGAACTGGTGCTCTCAAAAGGTACTAAGTGATACCCAGATTTTTTAATACTGCACACACGCAAGTGTTAAGACCCATTCTATACTGACCAGTCTATCTCAGGACCAATTCAAGCCAAATTTGGAGGCAGAGAAATGAAACCATTGAGATCTACGTTTGGGAGGCACAAGTGGTAACAGTGAATTCTAGGTTTGGAGATTTTAAGGGGTCTTAAAACTTGGTGCACAATTTTTTATTTCACAATTCAAGAGCATTTATTCATATAATTTTCCTATCTGTCATCCAGGGAGTGAAAACACAAATGCAGTGTAACTGAGAAGAAAAAATAACAGTACGTGGCTGAGTAATGCCAGCCATGCAGCGCAGTGCTCACAAACTATGGTTTGCTCGCAACAAATAGCAAGCATCGATCCTCACACCGACTTGCTAGATCTTCATCTTCTCGAGGTTCATACACGGCTATTTAAACTTATGGCAGTCAAGACAGCCCATGGTGAGTAGAGCACGAAGGTGTATCAAAATTTCTAATTTTTTTTTTTTCGTACCTGGGCACAATCACATTAACTTCTCTCCTCTCAGAGACCCTGTACTTTCATTACAGATGGACTATGCACTTCTGATGCAAATGAGAGAATGTTACATCACTTGACTTACTTGTAGCCTTGTAGGAATCATCTGTTGTACTACTGCTTCTAGCTGATACCCCCCTTCAGCTTTTTGGGCACCTTGTCACCACGTGTGAGTTTGAGTCACACAGTATTTGGGAATACATGAGCTTCTTAACAGTCACTCTATATAGTGCAATTGTTTTCATAAGTGCCTGAGTAGTAGGCACTAGCTAATTGCTTCATATGTAGGCCTTTAATTAAATTATCTTCATAGTTTCCACTATACCTGGACTTGTTTAATTTAATAATTCATAATAATTCACGTTAGTGCAAACCCATATGGGTCATTCAGTGCAAAGCATGGTGGAGGCTTGGATCCTCAGTCTGCTGAATGCAAGACCCGTTCTTCCTGTTTGTATTCACCTTTATGATCCCACATGACTTGTTACTACTTGGACATAACTGTACAGCATCAGTTCGGAAATAGATTGTTTGGAATGATGAATTTTTGAGGGGCACAATCTGATGCAAAATTACAGTGTAATCAGTTGTTGCGGGAACATTCAGTACAATGTGTACCAAAGGTCATAAACAGTCCAACCAGTTATATTATATGTACCCTTCAACAAGGGATAATCTTCCAATGACCTCGGTGGAAACAGTCACTTGTCTGACTTTTTTTGATTATCCTCGGTAATTTACACCTATGTATGATAATTGTACTACTTAAGTATAGCCTGTGCCGAAATAAATTATTTCTTATACTGGCAAAGGGCTCTTCATCCAAGAATTGAGGGGCTACATTGTTGGAACAAATATCTTACTTCCCCTTTCTCAGGTGGTAATATTGATCCTTATGGTTTGGTGCTTCCGTCCCATGCTTATTGTAATAATAAATTCTTTCATGGGGAAGATGAGGAACAGAATTACTTCCCTCCATGAGCATTCATGAGTCATAAAGGTGACTAAAATGACCGGACCAAGGCGAACTAGTAACCTCTTCTCCTGTATATATTATAAATTTAAATAGAGAGACTTTTGTTTTTTCTTTTTTTCGAGGCACCCCAGCCATGGTGGTATATGGCCAGTTATTTGAAATAATAATAAATATAAAAATAATAATATAATAATTAAAGCAGTAAAGAGTTTTTTACATGTGGATATTGAAGGCCAGGTAATGGGATTATATTCATAAAAAGTTGGCCTAGACACGAGACTTAGTGATGTTTGCCCATGGTTGTTTAACATATTTACAGAATAAGAAGTAAAATGAAGTGAATTTGGGGTGTTGGGGAGATTCTGAGGAATTAAAAAATACTGAATCTGATGCAAAGTGAGAGTTGTCACAGTGCTATATCTGATGATGTCTTTTGGAAGATTTCTAAAGAGAAGCTGCAAAAGGTACTTATTTGAGGAATTTGAGGCAGTGATAGACTGATCAGATTGTAGGGAAGGAATGCTCAGAAATGTCACTGGAATTGTGATGGCAGTGGAAACCTCTCAGGCAAGAACAGCTATTGGGAATGAATGAATGGCGAAAGTTTCCTCTTCTTCTGGTCACCCTACTTGGTGGGTGGAAGTTGAGTGTGGTACACAGTTGTACACAACATTGGAAATATCCTTCAGATACAATATATAGATTGGGCAAATGCACGGAGATATCTAGCATATGTAGCTGTCATATTATGTAAGGAATAAAAAAAGGTGTGAAGATGCTACAAAATTGGCCCAAATAAGCTACAAAATGGCTGCCATAGCTAAAAATAATTAGTCGTGAATAAAAGCTTATAGAATTAGCTATAAGATAAAGATAATAGGATAAAGTTTTATTTCTTTGTTACAGCGGGTACAATGTGTAATTAAAATCTTTGTTTGCTTATGTACAAATGAAAGTTCACTATCATGCAGGTGCATTTTGGCAAACTGATTCCTAATAATAAGTGTTCATTTGCTGTAGGACGACGAAAACAAGAATACATAAATAATCACCTTTAAGATTGTAAAAGAAAACAAAAGTAGTAAGGAAGAGACGTTACTATACCCTTATCAACAGAATGTATAATGATAGGTTAAGGAAGTTGTCAGAAATGGGGCAAGTGTTTCTACATGGTCTTGGCTATATGAATGACCTGACCTGCAGCTTAAGCTTTTGGTACAACCCTGACCTGAGGCCTTCCACTAGCTTACCCATCCACCCTTTATAATTATGGTTTTGATTTACAGTGGAACCTCAGATTTCACCCGAACGTATCACTTATCAAACTCTATATCTTCGAAAACAAACCTTTTTTCTAGACACAACTTTGTTCCTATAATCGAACCTCCCCCTATTTTTCCGAACCGCCATGTACCAGGACCTGTCCGGCAGCCCGCTCTGTCCGCTACCCACACAACAGGCACCCGTGAGCCAGATCTGGTTTTGTAATGGCTAGAGTGAACACTAACCTGCGCTCTCATTAATCAAACATTTTTACGATTATTTCATTTGTTTTGTAGTGCTTGTGAGGGACGTGAAATTGAGCTGACCATGGCCAAAGAAATCTTGCTATAAGAAAATGAGAAACACCATAGATGTGAAGAAGGGAATAATACAGAAGTATGAGAGTGGTGTGAGACTTGTTAGTCTTGCCAGGATGTATGGGAAAAACAAGTCGACCATCGGTTCTATCCTGGCCAAGAAAGAAAATCAGGAAGTCTAAATGTTGCGTAAGGTGTTAAATGCAACAAAAAAGCCGACACACAATCGCTCAGGTTGAGAAGTTGTTTGCTGTGTGGATTCAGCGAATAAAAAGAGATGGCAGGTGATGAGTGTACTCAAGACCATTATTAGCGAAAAGGCCAAGGAAGTTTGCATGCCGATCTGGTACAGAAAACTCCTGGAAATACCCCAGTGCTGATAGTGTGAATTTAAAAGTCAGCAGAAGGCTGTGTTTTGACAGATTTAAGAAGCGTAGTGTAGTGGCATACACAATATTGCAAGGAGCATGGTGAGGCAGCCAGTTTAGACAAACGGGCGGCTGAGAGCTGTACAAGGAGTTTAAGGTTTACAAGACACTGAAAATTAACAAACCGCCAACAAGTGTTCAGTTGTGACAAAAACAGGCCTGTTTTTGGTAGAAATGCCAAAGAGGACCTACAGGACTACTAAGGGAAAAGGCACTCCCAGGACAACACAAACCTATAAAAATAGCTACTCTTTTTTATTCTGTGCTAACACTAGTGGTCGATTTTAAAGTGAAGGCCTTTACTTGTGTATCATTCAGAAAATCCCAGAGTGTTTAAGAAAAACATGCCATAAAAGAAAACCAGTTATGTGTCTTGTGGAAAGCAAATAATAAGGAGCATGGGGTCACAAGGCAAATTTTCAAAGAGTGGGTCCATGAAGTGGTTTGGCCCCAGTGTGATAGAAAATAACCTCCAGACAATAATTTGCCACTCAAAGTTGCTCTCCTGTTTAATGGACAACAATGCTCCTGCTCAACCTCCAAACTTATAGACCTCTTTGTCTAGGGACTTCAGTTTTATAACCAGTGAAGTTCTGCCATCCTAACACCACTCCCTCTCCTCCAGCCCCTGACCAGCAGGTCATTTCTAACTTCAAAAAACTCTAC